CCCCCCCAGCAAAAACATGACAGAGGTCGTATCTCATCCCCAGTCTACAAATCATGAGTACTTATTGCTGTCAGTGACCCTATAGGGAAGACTCCCATTATTTCCTGTCCAGTTGACCATACAGGAAGTGAAGGGAAATCTCTCCAATGGGCTCTCAGACAGCAACACAAAACCCTATTTGTTGCAGGAGTATTTGGGGTCAGTACTAGTACTCACCCAAATGCTCTAATACCTTCCCCGATACCGGAACTGTAATGACCCGCCTCCCAGTTTCTGATTGGCCGGGAATCCGGCTTCCCAGCCAATTAGTGTCGAGCCAGATTCCCAGCCAATCAGAAACTGGGAGATGAGCATCGAGCTGGCCAAACAGCCGGCTGCTTGCTGATTGCCCGGGAAGCCGGCTCCATGCCAGCGGAAGCACTGGTATCGGTGATTACCGAAAAATCGGTATCGGTGCATCTCTAGTTCTAACCCTTCCAAAATTAGGAGAGGTCAGATAGAAGACTGAAGGGGAGGACGGAGGTCAGATAGAAGACTGAAGGGAAGGATGGAGGTCAGATAGAAGACTGAAGGGGAGGACGGAGGTCAGATAGAAGACTGAAGGGTAGGATGGAGGTCAGATAGAAGACTGAAGGGGAGGACGGAGGTCAGATAGAAGACTGAAGGGGAGGATGGAGGTCAGATAGAAGACTGAAGGGTAGGACGGAGGTCAGATAGAAGACTGAAGGGTAGGACGGAGGTCAGATTTAATGTAGGCTCCTGTGTGTCCTGTGGGGTGACAGGTCCTCTTTCCTGACATTGGAGGATGGGGCCCCTGGTTTTGGAGGCCGGCGCAGATCCAGGTGAAGTGACATTCGAGTCTTTGGTCTCCTGAGGAAGTTGCGATCTTCTTCCCTTTCCTGTCCGTGTCTTCGCATCGCGTGTGAGGTGCTCGGCACGCAGACCAGGGACTTGCTTGCGGTTCACCAACACATGAGCGCGATGGCTGAAGTCTGCAGACGCGGGGTTGTGGGTTGGAGGTTGGGAGGTTGGGAGGTCGGGGTAATCACGTAGAAGTCTCCTCCGACACGACTTGTGGCAGATTCTCACCTGCTCGTGTTCTGGAGATCCCGGGACCCGCCGGCCTCGCAGAGTTCACACGCTGAATGATTTCGGCCCTTCCATCCCCCGGCATTGTCCAGGCAGATCAATAGACGATCCGGCGGCCTATCTGCTTCCTTGCTGAACAACGGCTGAGATAAAACCATTTGGCGAGGAGTTTGTGGTTTGTAGTCTGTCAGATGGAAGGGCCGGAGGGGAACAGTACAACACAATCACTGTACATGACTGCGGAGCAGGACGCTGAGGATGGACATGTATGGAGGAAACATGGCCGCCCCCCATTTATATCTATGAAGTATGAATGGAAACAATGTTTCTTTTTAAAGATGACGTTCCGTGTCCTGTGTAGGGTGCGTTGGGGTGCCATGCGGAATGAATCACACCATCGCATGTAATGTGCACGTTGCGGTACGGCGCACACTAACATGCACGGTAACATGCTCGGTAACATGCACATCACAGTAACATGCACAGTAACATGCACAGCACAGTAACATGCACAGTAACATGCACAGTAACATGCACAGTAACATGCACAGTAACATACTCGGTAACATGCACGGTAACATGCACAGTAACATGCTCGGTAACATGCACGGTAACATGCACAGTAACATACTCGGTAACATGCACGGTAACATGCACAGTAACATGCACAGTAACATGCTCGGTAACATGCACAGTAACATGCTCGGTAACATGCACAGTAACATGCACAGTAACATGCTCGGTAACATGCACAGTAACATGCACAGTAACATGCTCGGTAACATGCACAGCACAGTAACATGCTCACTGACATGCACACTGACATGCACAGTAACATGCTCACTGACATGCACAGTAACATGCTCACTGACATGCACACTGACATGCACAGTAACATGCAATGGCCGTGTTCACTATATGAACCCCTTTATTAATTCTCAGCAGGGCCGGTGCTGCCACTAGGCAAACTAGGCAGCCGCCTGGGGCGCAGCCTTGACCACTCCCCCCC